AGTTTTATATAAACATGTGTTGTTCCTTTGTGGCTGAAATTTCACTAAGTTGTTACTCTATAAATTTTTCTTCATCAATGAAGCCAAGGAAACAGTTCCTTCCTTCTCATTAAATTATTGCCACTTTTAATGAAGTATATTGACTAGTATACTATAGTACACTGCGTTCAAGGGCTCAAGGTGGCTCAGTGGCTAAGATGCTGAGCTTGTCAATCAGAAAGGTCAGCAGTTCAGTGGTTTGAATCCCTAGTGCCACGTAACAGAGTGAGCTCCCATTTACTTGTCTGAGCTTCTGCCAACCTAGCAGTTTGAAAGCATGTAAAAATGCAAGTAGAAAAATAGGTACCACCTTTGGTGGGAAGGTAACAACGTTCTGTGTAACTTCGGTGTTTAATCATGCCAGTCACATGACGACCAAGATGTCTTTGGACAGTGTTGGCTCTTTGGCTTTGAAACAGAGATGAGCCCTGCTCCCTAGAGTTGGGAACGATTAGCATATATGTGCGAGGGGAACCTTTACCTTATTGACTAGTAACAAAGAATGAATTGCATCTGACTTGGGGACATAACTGGATGGAATCTGCCTGGGAAATATACCCCAGCCCAGCTAGTTTAATAGAACATAAAATTAAGGTATATCCTGTTCCACTTCCAATTCATGTGTTGCAGCTTCTAAGTAGCTAAAGAATAGTTTTTAGAAGGATTTTTGCAATATAAAGAAGTCTTCGTTTTATTGATAGCTGAGAAACTAACTCCAGATGGGCTGATAACACACACAAAACAGGAAAGCATAACAGGAAACTCAGAAAATTATAGCTCATTCCGAACACTTTATTGGTTCATATATTTGTTTATTTTCCCAGAAGAAACAAATGACTTTCATATTGGTGCCAAGAAAACAACATTGACGTGTTAATGAAGTCACTGGAAGTTGGGCTCAAGTTGAGGGGAAAATGTATTTATTCAGTTTATTTTTTAAAATTCTTGGATAACTCTAAGGACAATGCATAATGAAACACAAACACATCCCTTGTGCATAAAGTAAAAGAATAAATCAATTACTGTATATACTCAAGTATAAGCCTAGTTTTTCAGCCCACTTTTTGGGCTGAAAAAAGCCGCCTCGGCTTCTACTCGAGTCAGTGAAAAATTTGCCCGAAATGGAGGAGAAAAAGGGGCGGGGCCATGCCGCTGGGTGACGCTCGTGAATGGCCCAGCGCCCCTGTGAGTTTCCCCTCCCTCTGTGTCAGTTTGCCGCGCAGCGCGCACCACACCATCCCCCCTCCTCACGTTCTAATGTAATGCAGGGCTGTCTTACGATTCCCCTTCCTCCCCCTCCTGCCGCTCTGCAACGATGTCCCACCTCCTCCTTGTTATGGCAAGCAGCCACATAGTGATGTCCCACCTCCTCTGGTACAGTGATCCAATGATAGGAATCACTGTGCCGTGTGTCATAGGAGGCGGGACATCATCATCACAGCGGGACATCAGCATCATGAGGTGAGTGAAGTATTTCATTGAATACACCGGTATTGTGTGATAATAATTTGTTATGCAGAGCAAATTTTTACAATGGCTACTGTATATTTAATGGGCACAGGCAGGCTGTATATGTTATTCAATGGGCAATAGCATTATTGGTATCTATTTTTATTTTTGAAATTTATCGGTAGCTGCTGCATTTCCCACCCTAGGCTTATACTCGAGTCAATAACTTTTCCAGTTTTTTGTGGTAAAATTAGGTGCCTCGGCTTATATTCGGGTCGGCCTATACTCGAGTATATACGGTAACATAGCAATTTAAAATCAGCAGAGATTAAAACAAGCACCACCAGAAAAATCCTAATATATGAGGGAGATACGATTCTCAAAGAATATTAACAAAATAATTATGAAGGATAATTCTTTGAGGATAAAGGAGGAATTTGCCTAGTACTCCAAAGATAACAAAATGGGAATAACAGAAATCTCTTGTAGAGCATGTTTTACAGCTGAGAAAAAGGAGCACAAGATGATCAATGAAAAGTTGTCTCTTCCTAAAGAAGTTACTGCAGTATTTCAGCATGCAGTGATGTTCAGAAGAAGTCCTCCATACCAATCTCAGGCATACCCAGTGGTGGGTTCCTACCGATTTGGACTGAACCGGTAGTGGTTTGGCAGCTTGGGTCGCTGGAACAGGCAGCGATCAGGCCTGCCACCCACCCTGAACCGCTTCCCCGGTTTGGGGGCGTGGCAGGCCTGGGTTGCTGCTGGTTCTATAGTGCCGCCTTCTTGTTTTTCAGTTCTGTGCATGGATAGAACAATTTTAATTGCACTGCGCATGCGCAGTAGTGCTTGCTGGAACCCACTTCTGGGTATACAGTATATGGAAAGAGGCTCTCCTTCCTCCAATTCTCCTAGGTAGACCATGATATTTTGTTGCCTCTAACAATGTGAACTGAGCATAAAAATAAATGAGCTGGGAGCCATCAGAACTACTGTTCTTTGCATGAAAAGAGTCCTCTAAAGACTCTTCAGAGCAGCCATGGAGGGCATTTGCATACTGGTGGTCATGGAATAAAAAGTTAATATGGCAGGTGCGTGATCAGACATTAATCTAAACTGAGCTGAACATAGTTCATTGAAGCCATCACGCCTGATGCAAAGCCATAATATGGTTTCCTTGCATTTGTAAATATATTTTCATTAACTCAATGAAGCAACAGATTTCAGATCAATGTAATTAATAAGCTCTGAGCCTTGATGGTGCAGTGGTTAGAATGCAGTACAGCAGGCTACTTCTGCTGCCAGCTGGCTGGCTGCAGTTCGGCAGTCCTATTCTCATTGTAGGCTCAGCCTTCCATCCTTTCGAAGTCTGTAAAATGAGGACCCAGATTGTTGAGGGCTAAAGGCTGACTCTGTAAACTACCTAGAGGGCTGTAAAGCATTGTGAAGTAGTTTAGAAGTCTAAGTATTGTAAAAAAGATGTTGAGACTTTAGAAAAAGTGCAAAGAAGAGCAACTAAGATGATTAAAGGCCTGGAGACAAATGAAGAATGATTGCAGGATTTGGGTTTGGCTAGTCTAAAGAAAAGAAGGGCTAGGGGGGATATGATAGTAATGTTCTAGTATTTAAGAGGTTGCCACAAAGAGGAGGTTAACTTATTTTCCAAAGCACTAGGGGGGAAGGACAAAAAACTACCATAATCAAGGATTTTCTTAATTCCTGGAATTAAGGAAAAACTTCCTAACATTGAAAACAATTAACCTGGGGAAGAGCTTGCCTTTAGAAGTTGTGGTTCTTCATCATTGGATGTTTTTAGGAAGAGACTGAACAGCCACTTATCTGAAATGTTGTAGCACTTCCTGCTTGACTTGGATTAGAAGCCCTCCAAGGTCCCTTACAGTTCTATTCTGATCAATAGGTATGACTTAGCTTAAATAGAAAGCATATGATAGTTTGCCAGTTGGCCACAACCATTGAAGCAACCTTCGGTGAACAAATCACTTTCCTGTGTCAGTAATTTTGGGTTAGGTGTAGACCATCTTCCACATTCTTTCCACATTTCAAATATGACACCCAACTCAAAAAGATTGCTTGCCCCTGACTTAAGTCTACTGCTATTAATGCCAGGTGAGAACCCACTCACAAAAGTTTCTGAATTATGCTTGCTGTTTGTGTGATTTGTGAACTCTGCCACTTGTGGGTTATTGAGCAAACCCTATTTAAGCAAGATATGGAGGACTGGATTTCAGTGACAGAAAGTCACAATCTTATTGAGTGTTGAAAAAAGCTTTTTAAGGACAAGAACAGTTTGACAGTAAAAAGAAGTAGGTATCCATTCATTGGAGGCTAGATAGCTTTCTGTTTGGGATCTTTTAATTTTAGTTCCTTCACTAATCAAGATGGCCTCTTGCACCATTATGAAGTGATGCCATAGAACTGTGTGAGTATAGTCAGCTCTTTATTTAAATAATTCATACACATGTATTAGCTTAAGACTTAAAAAGTGTTCCCAGCCCAATAAATGTTGTTTTTAATATTATGTTTTCTTGCATGAGAAAACAATTCAATGTAAATGAAATAAGTGCAGTGGTATATAGGTGATTATCTCTCTACAGTGAAAATAATTGGCTTATCCACTTTCATTCTGAGAGCCTTCCTCTCCTCCTCCTCTTCTTATCCTACACCAGCTTTCCTTTCAAGGACACAAGCCAAAATCAGGTCTGTTGGGCACGTGGAAAGACTGTCTAACAGCATGGAGGGAGAACAATTTGGTGTACCTGAGAAAATGCCATTGATCTGACAGTCATGGATGGAAGCAATGAAGTATACTCCATCCAAAATATGGTTCAGCAGTTAAAATGACCAAGGGAAACCAAGAAACATAATTGTATTAATTAATTATTTTCATAATGCTCTAGGATGTAATGAAAAATGTTATCTCAGGGAGCGAGGTAGACTTGAAGCAGCATTCAATCAAGGCTCTGAACTGGTGTTCTCATGTCTCTTGAATTTACGGTACAATCAAAGAGAATTTGCACCTATATGTGTCACATTCACAGCTCAAACTACCCATGTTATCATTCTCTGTCCAGCAGCTTTCATGGTATATCTATGCCTGATGTGAATCAATTATAGCAAGTTCCATGCAGGATGGAAAGAAGTGATAAACTCTTACATTCACGGTTTTCTTAATGCTTAAGAATTGTTCTTTCATTGCATCCCATGTCCTTATAATTCTTTGCTGCATTATTGAGGCCGATGGCCATGCAAAAGGGTTTATATGTGAAAACTCCAAAGACTGAAGCAATAAGAAAAGGCTGAGTATTTTTGTGTAATGATGGAAATAACTTTCTGACAACAAAACAACAACAACAAAAATGATTTTGAAACCCTGGGTATTTAAAACCTCCTTATAAAGTTAGGAAAAGTAAGCTTGAAGAGTTGTTTCATTCATTAATGATGAAGTCACAGTAAGTATTGCTATGACAGACTCCTGTTTTGGATTTTTTAAGGGTAAAATTGCATGTGTATTACATTTCAATTTCATTTCAGCACGAAGTAGGTTGCAAATTTAGTTTATTGGACTTCCCCACTGGCCGTTACAATAAATGAAGAAGTGAAACATAATATACCGTATATCAAAAAGGCATTGAAATGGTGTCAATAATCTATTACATTACTATTAGCACTCTTATTCCCAGTACTTGAGTTGTTAAATAAAAAAGCAACACCAATTGTAAAAAGTATCTTTTCCAATAAGATAGATAGGTTTATGAGAAAACAGAAGGTCAGAAAATACAATGCTAGTCTATCTGCAGATAGGATAGAATAATTCTTCTGGTTCTCTGTTAAACCATTCCCATAAAGTCCTCTCATTTCTCATTACAACAATTCTATTGTAATGGAGGGAACAGATATTAAATCAACAGATATTGATTTTTTCAGATTGATCAATCCCCAGCCAGTGATTGTTTTTTTTGGGGGGGGGGGTCTGGAGATTACGAAGGTTGATACCAACAATCTTAAGTAGTATCCTATTGATAAAAACCAATCTGCAGCCTCAAAACACAATACAGCAGCTTGAAGAGGTAACATCGTTTGGCACACTGCACAAGGCAAAGAATTTGCTAGAAACAGACATTTCAGTACTGTGGCGGCCTTAGACATCAAGGAGAAGTTTCTGGATGAAATCAACTATGTGAGAAGCGGGATGCACAGCATCATATTCTGCAAAGAGGTGGCAAATATTCTCGGAATCAGCTGGGCTCTTGGAAACAACACCAAAGATCCTATGGTGGAAGATGGACAGGAAGCAGTGGTTGAAATAACAGATTTACCACTTTTTATAGTCATGACTAATGATGATGAAACGGCTTTGACAAGAGTGTGGAGAAGGTTTTATATTGCACTACTTTTCTTTTACATCATGCATTTTGCTTCTGGTATTTCACAGGAGGGGCAGGATGCTATGAAAAGCATTTTAATCCTTTGTTCAAATAGCATCTGGTCTGGTCTTGAAATTTTTAAGGAATAGGAAGAGGCAATACCCAAACTGACTCACTGATCCTATGCACTCAATTTTCCTTTCCTTTCATTGATTTATTATGTAAGCCGTTTAAGAAGCAGCAGAGTGCAACAATAAAGATTAAAGCTTAGATCCAAAATTAATTAAGAGCGTAAGTACAAAATAGGACATGAGCTGTAATGTTAATCAAGTATGTACAAGCAACTCCTTTGAAATTAATGGAATTTATATTTAAGTAGTAAACATTATTAGAATCTAGATGTTGGTTCAACAAGGAGACATTTATACAACTTCAATGCCTTTAAACTCTATTTGTATAATTGTTTTTTTTCCCTTTTTAACCTTTACTTGGCCAATAGCTTAAAAAGCTCCCTGACTAATATCTTATACAGGAAAGACCCTTATACAGGAAAGACCCTTACATCTACAATACATACTGTATGAAAAGGGGATGGGCTTTGATTATACAGTCTTTGATTCATGCCATCCATATAACTTACCTTGAAGTTTTGGAAAACTTTTGCCACCTTAAAAGCAAAAAGAGATATTAGATTTAATAAACATGAACTCACACCATTTTCTTAATGTAACTTCAAATAAATAACTAAATTCATACAAGAAGAAATGGCTTAGCTTCTGTTGCTGAAGCCTGGTGAAAAGAAATGGAATGAAGAGAAACATAAGTGATAGTCCCAGGTTTTGAACTTAAAAAAAAATTATACGTTCTTACTGAGACAATTCTGTTCTGTACATTTTGACCTTTTCCCTGCAATTTTGATGTTAAATTGCAATAAAAAAAATCAACGTGTTCAGAATAGCTTTTTAACCCCTCTCAACATTCAAGATTTTTTTTCTGTAACTCCAACAGAATTCTACCCAAGAACAACCCCACATTTCCTACCCTAAATATATGTGTGTGTGTGTGTGTGTGTGTGTGTGTGTGTGTGTGGCTGTGTATGTGTATGCATGCATGCATGCATGCATGCATGCATCCATCCATCCATCCATCCATCCATCCATCTATCTATCTATCTATAGTTTAAAATTAAATAAAAATGGAAAAAATAACAAAAAGAGAAGCTGGTTTAGATAGTGATTTAAGATTCATTCATATAAGCCTCTTCAAGCTGTAATTGATACCATGGGTTCAGTCAGTTATTGAAGAATGCAGATAATATTATTACCAAATCATTGAAACTATTTTCCTTTTAAAGGGCTTAATTTAAATATACTATTTTGGATGATCTGTATCTCATAGCAATAGCAGTAGACTTATATACCGCTTCATAGGGCTTTCAGCCCTCTCTAAGCGGTTTACAGAGAGTCAGCATATTGCCCCCAACAATCTG